TTTCTCTTAAATCCATAGCAAGCATCATGCTTATTATATATTTTTCCTGATGTTGCACTTGCGATTCTAAGCAGGGCTGCATATTCTTCAAGAGTCGGAGTCATATCTTTTTTTTTTTATCAGCAAAACAAATAGTCATTATATTACTCTCGGAGTATAAGGAATACTCCAACTCCAAATACAAACATTAAACCACTACTGCAACAGAGAAGAAAAAATCAAAAGTGCCAAAGAAAACAATTGTCCAAAAGCTAAATACATATAGAAACGGTGCCACAATTATCAAAAAACCCCAAGTAGCTTAGATCACAACGCACTGCATCTTCTTGTATTTCTTCAGATTATGACGATGTTGAACTATGGCTTCTTTACAATCAATAGGTCTTGATATCCAATCGGTATAAGAAAACACACATCCTGGCTCTTTATTTTTAATCCATAGAAAAGATTTTGCTTGAATAGATTCCAATAACCTCACTTCAGCCTGTAAAACTGGGCCAAACACTTTCATATTCCTCCAGTACCACACTAACCAAGCAGTTACCAAAAAAATAAGGTCTCCCAGCTCCTTCAAGCATCCTCCACTTATTCCATACACCACCGACTCCGCCAAACCAAATATATCATTTGGCAAAACACTTTGTAAACCCCACCATCCCAAAACCTTCTTCCATACTAACCACACCCCTTCACATTCACAAAAAATATGATGTAGCCCCTCCACCCCCTCATGACAAAATCCACAACTAACATCCCCACCTGTCAACAGAATTCCTCTCTTACACAAATTCTCTTTAGTGGCCAACCTATCCAAAAATAGTCTCCACCCAAAAACACTCAACTTAGAAGGAACATATTTACTCCAAATAATCCGAGACCACTTCTCATCCAGAACACACACTTTCGGTGATAAAAAATCATAAGCTGCCTTTACAGAATAAATACCATCTCTACCATGAAGCCATTGCCAAGAATCTGCTTCCTTCATCCTCAACCTTACCCCATTAATCATTTCCCTAAACTGTCCCTCCTCACCAACAGCCCTCCCTACACATCCACGTCGCCATCTACAATCCCATACCCAAGTATCACCCCTCCAAAAGCCCATATCCGTCAACCTTCCCTCCCTAATAGTCGTTAACGCAAACAACCTCGGAAATAAATCTTTCAGGCACTTATCTCCCACCCATTTATCCCTCCAAAAATCTACACATCTTCCCTCACCAACTTTCCATCTAAAGCCCTTTACTAACATCTCTACTAGCCTTTCAGACCCCCTACCCACACTCACAATATCCTTCCACACACGAGACATCGTCAAAGATTCAAAAGAAGTGATATCCACCTCTCTCCTCCCCTCATAATATTTCTCCCAAATCACTCTCTTCCATAAACCATCCACCCCATCACCTAGTCTAAACCACCATTTACCCAGCAAAGCAAAATTTCTCCTCTCTAAATCAGCTACTCCCAATCCCCCTCTTCCCTTTTCCACACACACACAATCCCACCTAACCCAAGAAATCTTCTTTTCTGTCTTCACTCCCCCCCAAAAAAAATTCCTTTGAATTTTAATCAATTCCACAATCACACATTTAGGAATTTTAAATAAAGATAAGTAAAAAATATGAAGAGTAGATAGTACCGAGTTAATTAATGTAATCCGGCCTCCAAAGGACAATAGTGGGCTTTTCCAAGTGGCGAGCTTCTGACGAAACCGCTCCAGCATAGAATTCCAAAACTATTTCCTCCCCGGATTCCCTCCAACCGGCAAACCAAGGTAGATAAAAGGCACCCTTCCTACCCCACAATGAAAATTTCAGCTGCTCCTTTTAACCACCCTTCTGAAGTGTTAAACCCATACAAATGGCTTTTGCTAAAATTAATCTTTAATCCTGAAATCAGTTCAAACCAGTGCAAAATGGCTTTCACAACCTTTAAATTCCCTGCACATGCCTTTCCCATAAAAACAGTATCATCTGCAAACTGTAATAATGACAACTCCATACCACCCCTCCCAATTCCCAGACCTTTCAACAACCCTTCACTCTCTGCTTTTTTCACCAGCCCACACAGCCCTTCACCTACTAATAAAAACAGAAAAGGAGACAAAGGATCACCTTGTCGAAGACCTTTGCTAACTGAAAATTCTGACGTCGGACTTCCGTTTACTAAAATCGAAATCCTGGCTGTTGAGAGACATTCCCGAATCCACTTTCTCCATTTAACCCCAAACCCCATTCTGTCCATCATCCAATCAAGAAAGTCCCAATCCACACAATCATATGCTTTTTCAAAATCAGCCTTAAAAATAAAGCTCTCCTGTTTCTTTCTCCTCACCTCATCAACTACCTCATTCAAAACTAACACACTGTCCACCAACTGACGACCCCCAACAAAAGCTGATTGTGACTCACTTATAATATCTGCCATTACCTTCTTCAACCTATTTGCTAGAACTTTCGCCAATAATTTATACAAACAACTTATCAGACAAATGGGCCTATACTCCTTAAATTGCACTGGATTCAATTTTTTAGGAATTAATGTCAAGAAAGAGGAGTTTAGACCTTTAACTAACCTCCCATATTGATGGAATTCCCTCAAAAAGTTCACAAAATCATCCTTCAACGTGTTCCAAGCGAACTTTATAAAATTGAAATTGTAACCATCTGGGCCAGGTGCCTTTGACCCATCAAAGCTTCGAAGACCCTCTTCAATTTCCTCTATGGGAAAAGGTCGTTCTAGCCACTCCTTTTGTGCTGCAGAGATTTTACGAAATTGGATCCCTCCCATGACCGGCCGGCTCCACTGATCCTTGTGAAATAACTCACTAAAATATTTAACTGCCTCTGCCTTAACTAACTCGGGTTCCTCAATCCATCCCTCATCCCCTAAGATACCAGATATTGCATTCTGTGCCCTCCTTGTCTGCACACTTCTGTGGAAGAAAGCTGTATTTGCATCACCCAAACGAACCCAATTGTTCCTTGATTTTTGCTTCCACACAGCTTCTTTCCTTCGCAAAATGTCCCACATCTCTTGAAAGCATTTCTTTCTCATTAGCTCCTCATTTTCGCTCAACTCCTCTGCCTCACTCTTTTTATCCAACCTCTCAATATGCTTTAACAATGTCTCCAGCTGAATCTCCACATTACCAAACACCCCTCTATTCCACCCCTTGCACTCATCTTTTAATAATTTCAGCTTCTGTTTACATTTGAAAGCCGCCCATCCTTCAATCTGCAAAGTCTTCCATTTATCCTCCACAAAACCTTTGAAATCAGAGTGTTGTTGCCATGTGTCAAGTACTCGGAAAGGCTTGGGACCCCAATCTGTATTTCTTGACGTCAAAATCAGTGCACAATGATCTGAAATTGATCTTCTCACACCAACTTGAACCCACTCTCTATCCAATAAACTCATTTCTGTGGATAACAAAACCCTATCCAACCTACTCATTGAAGAACCATCGGGTCTGTACCAGGTGAATTTCCTATTCCTCAGTCTAACATCAATTAACCCACACTCCTCAACAAATTGATTAAAATCTCCCATGTCCTGTGTCTCACCTAGTCTCCCCTTCCTCTCTGCCACATTCCTTATTGCATTAAAATCCCCTGTTAATAGCCATCTACCACCCTCTTCCAGTACTAAACTACCCATCTCCTCCCACAACATAGCCTTCCTCTGCTTATCACATGGAGCATACACATTAACAAGGTTACACTTCAATCGCTGCTTTCCCCACTCCCCTGAAATCCCAATAAAACCATTTCCTTCTATCACTCTTTCTTTAACAAAATTGCTCCTATTCCATATAGACAACAAACCTCCCGAATTGCCCACTGATTTTTGCATAACCCAGTCAAAATCCTCAGAATACCACAACTTTCTACACAGAGCAACCTCCACTCCCTCTAATTTTGTTTCCTGAATAAATAGAAAGTCTGGTTTCTCCTTACTCACCAATTTAAAAATCTCCTTTCTCTTAATCACACTACCCAAACCCCTAACATTGAAAGAAATCACCTTCATAATTAAAACTCATAACTCACATACCTCCCAAAAAACCAGACCCGACGCATCAGGCTCGTCCGAAGGTAGCTCCATCCCTCTCCTCTAACGCCACCAACCTAGAGATCACCTCTTCTTCATTTTGTTGGCATTGAATCCCCAAATTTTGCCCCATCACAAACAGCTCTCTCACTTCCCCCATCTGTAGCTGCTTTCGAATCACCTCATTCCGGTGTCGGATGCACCCATCTGACAAAGAACAACTTCCCGTCTGCAATTCCTCCCCTCGCACGCCTGGGTCCCTTCTATTTCTTCGCGCCTTTGTCCTGGCCGTGACCCAGTTGGTGCCTACCTTCCTTGCTTCCTTCGTCCCAATAACCCCGGCATAAATCGTTCCCAAACTTCTGCGTTTTTTCTGTGTCCTGTCCGGTCGGGTTACCTGCACATAAGGACCCTCAAGCCCATTTTCGGACCCATCTTCAACACTTCGATCGTCAACTTGATGCTCCACTTCTCCACATATATGTGGCCCATTAAAAATTCCTCCACTCGGCCCAAATGTCTCTAGCCCATTAAATTCCTTATTTACACCCGAATCTTCCTCAATTAAAGATACTTCTTTTTGTAACAGGAAATTTGAATCCCTTTCCGTTGCAGCACCATCTTCGGCCAACACTGCCCCGTCATCGCCCAGAAATCCGTTTTCATTAAAAGTTGATTCACTGAATCCATCCTCGGAATTTTCGGAGTCAGATTCTACCACCGGATTCCGTCTTTCCCCGGCCAACCACCAATCTGGGTCCATCCTCCACTCCTCCTCCTGCACTGTAATCGGAAATGCCTTGCCGTCAACTATCAGAGAAATTGAGGTTGATATTTTACTCTTTTCCTCACTTAAGATCAACACCCTTCCTTCACACAAAAAAGACTTACTCCTCGTATCCTCATCAACTAAAATCACCTCTCCAATTAATCCACCTAATTCTGTGAAGCATCTCTCGCTCCATGCCTTTAAGGGAACACCAGTGCACCGGAGCCATACCAATCTACTCGCCGAAGACATCGTAGATAAAGACATTGGCTGTATCCAATCGAACCACGACTCCACCAGTTCACTGTTATGACTGATAAACTCCTCAAGGCCTCCTTCGGAATAATCAACCAAAATGACATGGTGACCACCAAGCAAAGCCACATTCACCATTAATCCATCGACATCCAACCTGTTCTGAATTTTCTTCACTATATCTAACGATCGAACTATCGCTACCATACTTCGTTTCAACCATGCCACTTCCTCATCTTTAGGAGTAAATTCTAATACTAAATCAGTTTTTGGAGAATACCTTTCCTCCACCCTACCTGCACTTATCACTGGTGCAGTGCTCCTTTCTGGTATTTGCTCCAGAACCACATCCTCTACCGGTTCCTTCCCTTTTGTTAACTCATCTTGCCTGACATCCTTATTCGAAGACATCCCTTCCTCAGGTGCAACCATACTGCCAGCAACCACCTGAGCGTAAGTCCTCCCTGGAGTCACCTTACTCTCCCTTCTAATCCATTTTTTCTCAACCTGCCTATTCGAATTCCTCGCTGACTCCACCCTCTCTCTTTTCATGGTTCCTGCCAATTTCACCTTGAGACGATAGGATCCAAGCCAAATCTGATTTAATTTCTGTTCCATATCCTTAGCATCAGAGACCTCTGACATACGAACGAAACCATAACGGCGCCCTCTCCGATCACGCCTTGCAGGGATGTACACATCTGCCACCTTCCCAAATGACCAAAAGCAAAACCACATATCCTTCACTGAGCGATCTGCTGGAAAATCATAAAAGAAATACGTAGTTACCTGCGCTATAAACTGCCTGCCATACCCTGGAATCTGCCGCTTGAGCCCACTACCACTGTCCTTGGCTGCCGGAAAACGTACCTTAACCCTAGCACTCCACCTCTCCATTAATATAATTTTAGTATTTTTTTTTCCCTAAATTTCTGACCTAACAAACGATTGCAATGGTTCGTCTCCCCCATGATAAAGATAATTTAGGAAAAATTTACCATAGAGTCGGAGTCATATCAACTTCACCAAATACAAAGGCACGGTACCTGGGATCCCAAAAGTGGATTGCTGCCTTAAGCATTGCTTCATCTATTGTAGTAAATAGAAGGAGTCCTATGTGCCCAAACTTTCGATCGAATTCACGGCGACGCTCGGTAGACCATCCGTGAGATATATCTTTCAATTCCTCCAAGTTATTTTGAGTCAAGGTAAGATGCACCCTCTTCGGCAGCTGAGTCATTCTTTTCTCTAGGTGATCATTTCTTGCACTACTTTCTGACTCTTCTATGACAGTCCGCTGGGGTTTAATTACAATGCCGGCCTCCGACAGCACCGCCAGGAACGGTTGCCGGCTCACCACCTCATCCTCACCGGAAGCCACATAATTATTATAGTCCAGTGACTCATCAATGTAAATATCCCACCATTTGTTCACCAACATCTTGATATCTTCCCTGTCCATGTTCTGTTCTATTCCAGTGAACCTCCACGGCTTAGACCCGGCGGCGGAGTAGTGCACCACCTTCACTTTCTCCATCTCAATGTTCTCCGGATGCCACCATAGCATCGCCAAAACCAGGTTGTAAATCGGTGGAATTGGCTCGTAAATTTCCCTGAAGAACATATTCAAGAAGTCCTGCTCGGCGAAAGGGGTGAGAGGGCTGATCTCGAGCTTCCTCAAGAGTTCGTCATAGACGGAGAGGCTAGGTTCAAAAACGAACATACCGGCGTTGAAGTAGAGAGGAGGCTTGGGACCCAACTTCGCCGGCCACTGGACCTTGTCCGGACACTGCTGGCAGTATCCGATCCTGTACTGAGGAGTGTCGCTCCATGTCTTCTCATAGAAACAGTCTGTCACGGCGTAGAACTTGCCGTCCGGTATGTCAAACAGATGATCAATGTTCTCAAACACCTGAATATCCCCGTCCAAGTATACCATCTTGCTGTACTTCACAAACAGCAAATTTTCCACACAACCAAACACAACTTAGTGTCAAATTACAAAAATACCGCTCATGTGAACATATATCAATAGCAATCGGTCAAAAAATTAATTACTTACGTTCCATATACGAAGCTTGGAGTAATTGATGACATGGTCGGCCATGGCGAACTGCGTCTGGTTCTCCGGCGGGTGCACTGTAGTTGCTGAAAACCTTCAAGATCCTGCTTCAGTGTGATTCTTCTCCAAGTGGTCCTGCAAAATCTTGAGGTTGGTCCTAGGGGAGAAACTCCGATACTTAAGTCAGTAATTTTTTAATAATGTTTTCCTTTTTGTTCCGTCTATTTATCGTGTTTTACCTTGTGGGCTTTGTCCATCTTGGCAAGGCACCCACGTGGCTTGTTCACATCCACGTGGCCTGGTCAACCCAATAATGGTGACATGGTGTGTCTAACGGAGTAGGCGGTTTAGGTGAATGTAACGTGCCTTAACGGAGCAACCGCATTAAATGCGCGTGGTGCGTTCTAACAGAGCAGGTCCCTTGAAAAAGGGTGTTTGGTAAGGACAAATGATCAAATGAGGGCGTGCCTATTGTGGCTGTAATGTACTCACGGCGAATTGCCGAGGTGCAGTAGGCTCCGTGCTATAAACCGAGGTGCGGTAAGCTCTGAGCTCTGCAGCCAAGGTGCAGTGAGCTCTGAGCTCCGATCTTTGCCTTCGCCTCGTATAACTGCCCTTACACTATTCCCCCCCCCCCAAAGTCATTCACTTGTGAATGATAAAGGGAAGATGGGAAGTGTATGGATAATAAGAGTGTGTGAGGGTGAGTGGTTGTGTGGTTGACTAAAGTATGATAGGGTTGGTGGCATGAGGGCCATACGGCAGAGGCCGAAGTGAAGTGGGTGACCAGATGTCACCATGGCTGAAGCCGAGGTAACACTGGTGACTTGGGTTCACTGTGGCGCAGCCAAGATAAAATTGGTGACACGGGGTCACTGTGGTCGGAGCCGAAATAAAAATTGGTGACACATAGTCACTGTGGCCGAACCCGAAATAACCATTGGTGACACGAAGTCACTGGGCCGGAGCCAAGATGAAATTGGTGACACGGGGTCACTGTGACTGAAGCCGAAATAAAAATTGGTAACACGTAGTCACTGTGGCTGTAGTCGAGATGAAAATTGGTGACACGAAGTCACTGGGGCCGGAGCCGAGATGAAATTTGGTGACACGGGGTCACTGTGGCCGGAGCTGAAATAAAAATGGGTGACACGTAGTCACTGTGGCTGGAGCCGAGATGAAATTGGTGACACGGGGTCACTGTGGTCAAAGCCAAAATAAAAATTGGTGACATGTAGTCACTGTGGCTGGAGCCGAGATAAAAAGAATGACTTGATAGTTTTCGTGTAAGTACATGTTAAGGGGTTTACAATGGGCCTAAAATGGGCCTATTTATGGAATGGCAAAGCCGGTTAGTGTAGCAGACGACAGCTGTCATGGAAGAACGTGCAGCAATAAATATCGTCTGCGAAAAGTAACCGTCACATTTGAAGGGACGCGACGGTAAATTAAACGGCGAATTTGAAAAGGCACGGTTGTGACGGTTTAAGGAAGTTAAACATGATCGTCAAGATATGTTTTTACCGTCATATATATATTCACAGTTAGAAAAATCCAACCCATTTTGCTGTTAGCGTTTGGAAAAGTCACTGACTTGCCTCCATTCAACATTGTTCGTTCGTTATCAGTAGAAACCAGGTAATTTGTGAGGGTCTGAGTGTCTTCTTTCTACCTTTCTTTGTTTGTAAGAATGTCCTCTGAAGAGACGATTAGTGACGACAGAGTGAAGGGGAGGGTTGAGGAGATAGAGGGTAGGGATTTGGGGGTGCCGTCGAACATTTTGGAGAGAGAGGATGAAAGAGAGGCATGTTTCAACCCTGAGGAAGAGATTATTAGTGAGGTGATGGGGTATGAAACTACTTTGGAGAATAGGAGCAGTCTGGCCCACTTAGTTGAGAACTATGGGGTGCCTGGGCGTGTGTTAGTGAGGTCGGCGGGGAAGAGAGAGAGGGCGTGCTCAGCTCCGGGGGACCATTGGATGCCCTTGTACTCCCATTACCTGGCGACTGGGTTGCGGTTCCCTATCCCAAATCTATTGGTGTGGTTGTTGCTAGAGTACGGTCTGGGATTAACGCAACTCACCCCTAATGCTGTGAGGTTAGCGGTGGCATTTGCAGTGTATAGCCGAAGTCGGGGGGTAGGGTTTCCCACCGCCAGTGTATTCAAGTACTTTTATGTCTTGAATGCTGGGAGTGGTAAGGAGAAGGGGTGGTACTATTTTACGGGTCGGGTGGTTAATAAACAGAGGAAGGGTTTGTTTAGCGTTGGGCCATCTTCCATCAAAGGATGGAAAGATAAATTCTTTTTTGTGGATGACACGGAGTGGGATAAGACTGATGCTAAGGTGGAAAACTTGAGCAGCTGGAAGGCAAAAGGGTTAAACGTTAATGAGTATAGCCTGACCCGGGGGGGGAGTTAGAGGATGTGAGGGCGTTGGAGAGGGGGGGTGTGGGTTTGCTGGACGGTTATGGAGTATACAAGCCAGAAGATGTTAGACGCGGCTGAGATATATGGGTTGACCTCACAGAGTGGAGGTGTGTAACTTTAATTGTTGATTTAGTTCGAGAATTCTGATCAGAGTTTAACCTTGTTTTGTTTTGCAGAAGAGATGAACAAGTTTTTGGAGGCAGCTGGTGGGGTTGGCATCCCGAAGAAGGGACGAGGGAAGAGGGGCGAGGTCAGAAAACGGGTTGAGGAGGTTTCATTGCCTCAGGCTGAAGTGGAAAACTTAGCCGTTTCTCAGCCCAGCAACGTTGGGGATGAAGTGATGGTTGCTGAGGAGGGGCCCATTGTTGCGAAGAGGAAGAGGTTGGAACAACAAGAGGCCGTGGAGGAGGTACCAGAGCCTGTGACTTCATCCCTCCGTATAAAAGGGACCTCGTCAGCCTCGGCTGCTGAATTTGCTGCTGCGCTCCAAGAGCAAGGGTACGTCCGACTGCAGACAACGAGTTTCTATTACTCCGGGATGAGGAGCACAGCAAAGAGGTTCATCAATGCTTATTTCCCGGAGGTGGATCGCCAGCGGGCGAAGGACGAGGTGGCTACCAGAGGTTCAGTTGGCGTTGTTCGTTAGGCGCTGTAGGTATGGTACTTTCCTCTTGTTTAAAGTTTGAGGATTACAATTTTGTTAACTGTTTGACGAGCTGGGGTTATTCTATTGTATAGGCTGTGAACCTCGTGAATGCTTTGGCCAATGAGCATCACGAGAGTTTAAAGGAGACGAATCAGATGAGGAAGGATAATGCCGAGCTCGTCAAGAAGAACGAGGAGGCCGAGGCCGAGGTGGCGAAGCTGAAGGCGAAGATGGAGGAACTCCGAAAGGAGAACGCCACCCTAAAGAAGGACTTGGAGCTCTCGTACCAAAAAAGGAAGATTTGCGAGGCTGAGCTCAAGAAGAGGGAAAAGGAGTTAGAGGAGGCGGGGAAGGTAGTGGCTGAGCTGGAACTCAAAGTTCACAACTCTGTTGAAGAGCATGTGGAGGGGTTTCTGAAGTCCAGCCCCTTCGAGGATATCGTCAACCTCTACCATCTCCCTACTGCAATTGTGGCCTTCTCTGACTGCAGGAAGAAGGTGAAGTTGCAGTATCCTGATGTGGATGTGACGAAGATCACCTTTAGAGATCAGGAAGGGGAGGTGGAGGAAAATGGGGAGAGTAGCACTGCTGACTTCCGCCCGGAGGTTACGCTGAAGTGGGATAGGAACAGCAGAGGTCAAACCATTTTGCCTCCCAAGTTCAGTTTTGAGTTTGTGGCAGTGGGTGAGGAGGGGATCAAAGGTGACGAGGTGACTAAAGGTGCTGAGGAGTCAACCAGAGGTGCTAACAAGCCAGATCAGCCTGGTGGCAACCCAGAGCAGCCTACGGCCAACCCAGACCAGCCTGCTGACTAAACTTAGTTTTTTTTTTTTTTTACGAGAAATTGTTTGTAAACGATCAAAGTTTGGTGCAATAAATTCGATTGGATAACTTGCGTATTGTTTTTGCGATGGTCCGAAATTAAAATGACTTGTTAATGCAACTAAGGTTGGAGAAATGAAATTGACTTCGTCTTTAACTGTATAAGAACATAAGTTACAAGAAGATGCCTAACACAGAATAAAATGAGGAACTTTCAAGGGTGGAATTTTTTAGGTTAAACCCCCATTTTGGTCCCTCAACTATTGTACGGACCCCCGACTTAGTCCCTCAACTCAAAAAATCCCTGATTTGGTCCTTACTGTTTACCATTTTTACCCCAATTTAGTCCCTCCCTTAAAAATCCAATGACGTGTCACGTTAATTAACTGTAGCATGATGACGTGTCTAAATAGAGTGACACCTCTTATGCATACCTGTAAAAAAAAATGACATGGCAGTATGATTTTGATCCAAAAGGACCAAAACTAAAAAAAAAGGAGTGGGCCCCACCTGAACCCTTGTCCCCCTTTCTTCCCATTCGAACTAGAACAACAGAG